AACAGTTTTAATTAATGTACCTTCTGCAGCCTAAATACATTTCAAATCATATGTTCAACAAATATAAGGTAAGGGTCATTGCTTTACAAAATTCACATTTTAGGCAGAACAACTGACTGCAAGATAAGTGTTTTGTTTCAAGACAGATCTAACAGAAAAATGAATCTAGCCATCTTCACTTTCAGCTCAAAGTACTTCTCACTAACCCTCCTTTATGTCCAGGGTGTCACCTGCCACTGGACAAGATCTCAGCCCAGAGAAGGGCTCACAGGAGAAAAACAAAGGATTTTAGGATACATCTCCCTATTACATCCTCCCTCTTTTAATTCATACAGGAAATCAAACCACTGGTTCCCAAATATGGCTGATCATCAGAATCACCCTTGAGGCTTGAAAACACGCAATGATCATGACCCTCACCAGAACTATTGAAATATATTCTCTGGAGTTGGAGTCCTTTTGGACTGCTTCTTCCAGAAAAGCAACATGCTTACCAAGGAGCTGCCTGACACATTTCCATAGTGCTTTCTATTTCCTGTTTGGAAATGTCCTGAATCTTATAATCCTCCTTATTGGTTTTTTTTGTCATTACCATTTTCTGTATATCCTGTCCTGTTAGTCTTTTTAGAAGCTCCCCGCAAAGGATTTTGATGATCTTACAGAGGTTGGAAAGCAGATGGCATTAGAAGATTTCAAAACCACTGCTTTAGGATGAAAGCACTAAAGGAAAACAGTTTGGGCTGGCGGTGTCTTACTGCCTTGTCAGCATTTCTGGAGACGGCTGTCAGGGCGAGACTCACAAATGAACGGCGAGAGGGGACCATTCTCACCAAGGCATGAAAAGGCTCCGCTGCAGCAGGCACAGTCAAGTGTTACTGTGTGACCTGTTTTAATTCTCCACACTGTAGTCTTGTTTGGGGAAAAAAGGCTCTTAACAGGGAAATATGGTCATCACTGAGGTTTCTTAACCTTTTTTGTTAGACATGTTTCTATGACCCAGTGTTAAAACAGGACTCATCCAAAAACCTAATACAATTAAACAAAACAACAAAATTACAAACTTCCTATCCTTTCATAATGCTTGGTAGAGAGAATTTTAATTAATCTAACACTGTGATAAATTGGCAATTAGATGGTTACCGATTCATATAGTGTATTTAACAGTAAACATATCCCAAATATAATATTTTCGGATAAATCAAAGACTACGGTGGACGGGCGGTGTATCTTCAGCTCTCCATGCACAGGTCTTCAGGAGCTGATGTGTCTACAAGTGGCCTCAGGTGACTAAACAGAAATGTCTGTGCTCCTTTCCTATCAGTGGCCGAGAGGACAGTCAGCAGAGAAGGCACCACGCTTGGGCGTATGTGTCTGCTCACGGTCATCCAGCGACGGTGCTGATTTTGCAGCAATGGACTTACATGCCCAGTTATGGTCCCTGACCTTCTAGAACCTACATGCCAGCTATGGAGAAAGAGAACTGTGGTGTCCAAACTGCCAACAAGCAAAGCAGGCATCATCCTGCAGGAGACACTGGAAGAAAGGAAAGCGTTTGGGCTGCTCCCTCCGGCACCACGGGCTGGGTGGCTTCAGTGGCAAACGTTTCCCTCCCACAGTTCTGAAGGCGCAGTCCAAAATGGGGGCTGCAGCAGATCTAGCATCTTTGTAGAAGCCTTCTTCCTGGTCCGCAAACCTGGTCTCTCATGGCCAAGTGGACAAGCTCTAGTCCCTTCTGAGGACACTAGCCCCATCCTGAGGCTCCACCCTCAGGACCTCACCTAAACATAATTAACTCCCCAAACTTATGTCTGAATACCGTCCATTGGGGGACAGGGTTTTAACATGTGAATTTCAAGGGACACAAAAATACAGCCCCAACACCATCTAGACGTGCACCGTCCAAAGAGCCAGCCCCCAGCTGCATACGGCTGCTCAGCCTGTGCAGTGGGGCTCATGCTGAGATGTGCTGTGAGTGCAAAACAGACACCAGATTTTGATGATTTGGCAAGCAAAAAACAAAACAAAAGCAAACCAAAAAACTGGAAAGTATCTCATGAATTATTTTTTATATTGCTACATGTTGGAACAATAATATTTTGGATATACTGGGCTAAATAAAAATTTCAGTACAATTCATTCTGCTGGTTTCTTTTTCCTTTTGTTTAATGTAGCTACTAGAACACCTGAAATTATTTCTGAGGCTCTCACGTGCTTCTTGCAGTGTGTTTTTGTTGGATGTTGGTGATCTAACTTGGTGGCTCTCAGACGGGGGTAATTCTGGCCACAAGGGACTCTCAGCAATATCTGGAGATGCTTTCTTGTCTGTCATAGCTGGAGGGAGCAGGTGCTTCTGGGATCTGGTTGGCAGAGACCCAGGATGGTGCCAAACATCTTACAACATGCAGGACAGCCTTTCCCACATGCCAAAGAATTAGCCACCCAAAATGTCAATAGCACCAACAGTGAGAGAAACTTAGATCTAGAGAAATCAATTAATAAAGCATAAAAAGAGCTTGAAGTGAACAAGGGAATACCTACAAATGTTTATCTCTATAACAGAATATGAAATGATATAATAATCTATAACCAATGAGTTGCCATTTGCAATATAAAGGGCCTGAGGCCAGAAGTGTGTCAGGCCTGTGGCATGGGACAAAAGAGCAGACAAGCTCAGATCATTCCTCCAGATCCTGGTTGTCACGAGCCTCCAGCGTGTCAGTGAAGAACTGAGGGAGCTCTCAGAACCCTTAATAGATGGTTTGAAGTTTCTGGCGCAGACTCATGGGTGTAAGAATCCACGACAAACACCACCGATCTTTTCCCATGTGAAAGGCCTGATTACTTACAATCCAGATGAGCTGGAGCCTTCCATAATAAAGACTTTAGAGTGCAAAATGAGCAAAGTTAGGAAAGTGGTTCACCTCGGCAAAGTTTATTTCTGCCTGAATGCGCCAGGTGCGCAGAGAAGTAAAGAAGTCAGCTGACCTGGGTCCCGACCCAGGGGTGGCTGATTCCAACCGGGTTACTTACCATGTGCTTTTTCTTGATCCAACATGATGAAGAGTTCTGATTATTTCAGCTTTCTGGCTGTCTGGATTTTAAGGAGGAAGTGTAACCACACTTGGATGTGATAGACGACATACTTGAAGTTGTAGGATCAAAGGGTCTGGGGAATGTGGCCGAATGTCTGGAACCCGCAGTTCTCTGGTCTGTCGTCTTTCCGCAGGCAAGAAGCCCAGGGCTCATCACCAAAGTCCTTCACGGACAATGCAGAAAAACGCGCTCCCCTTCCGCAGCCCCCAGAGATGGAAACCCCCTCCGACCCCTCCCTGTTCCGTGTCCCACCTGAGAACTGTACCTTTTTGATTCCCCAGACCTGCAGGCCTGGCCCACCTTAACCTCTCCTCAGAGCACAGCTGTTGCTCTGAGATTTAGATAAGCGAGGTTTTCTCCTTTGAGGTCAGTATTTTTCTTTCCAGGCCACCTCAGGTTATTTCTTGAACAGAAAGTGGTGTTCCCTTAAATTCACAATCTTCAAAACAGGTGGAAATTGTTGTTACCTTAAATTCACAACAGTCAGACTTCAGGCAAAAATAAGTCTCTATTTGGAAGCAGAAATACACTGGGTTAGTGATGGGGTGAAATAAAATGGGCTTGTTATAGAAACCACTTAAGGAAGTCTGGGACTGGTGGGCTAATACTGTGTGGCACCATCAGACCACAGGAGGAAAAAGGAAACCACGTTGCTTTACGTAACTTTCGGACCTCGCATCACCTCCCATGCCCTCCTGCTGGCTGGATTCATCATCTGCCTCTAAAGCCTGACACTTCTCTGGAGCACAACACATCTTGGAAAAGTTCCTATACTTTGGGTAAAAATAAACATAACTGATTTATATTCTGGGTGACGTATGACTATGATGAACAGCAGGGAGTGAACCAGACCGAGTCTGGCTATGTCAGGAATACTCCAGGTCTGAACATGGCAAAATTGCATTTTCCGACCCTTTTGAGTTTAGGCGCAGCCGTGTGAAATGGCTACCAAAATATGGCCACTTCTGGTCCGCGTGGGGAGGAAGCGACAGTGGAAGGGTGTAGCAGCCTGGTTCTCTGAGTGGCTCATGTAAGCCGAATCCCTGAAGGCCCCACTTGGGATACGTGAGCCGAGACATTAAATCACAGAGACTTGGGGTTTTCCATCGCTACAGCGCTCCCTAGCTCAGCCTAACAAACACACCCCTTAATATCTAGTATCTTATTTTTAAAACCGTCTGTGCCTTCTCTAAACATTGCTTACTTCCTCCCAACCTCACAGGGGATGAAAATCATCATTACAAAGAGAATTTAAGGCACAGGCGTGAGTGTCAGGGAGAACAGTGTGGTCGCCGACGAGAGCCATTTGGCAGCGGTGTGTGTGTGGTTTCTTGGAGACACTCCGCCCTGGGGAACAGGGTGACCGGCCCCACTGTTTATCCATGCCGATTCAGCAGTGTCGCCGCGGACCAGCTCTCACGGCCGGCTGCCCCCCGTGCCCCGATTCTGGCTGCAGCTAGTTTCCCGTTGCCTCTGATGTCCACGCACCTGGTGTCTGCTGGCTCTCCAAACCTGGCAAGTGCAGCTTTTATTCTGTTCTGTTCCCACCTCATTTGCAGTTTAGTCAAAATGAAATGTGTACATAAATTTTCAAAATCAGCAGTTCTACAAAGCCCACTGTGGATAAGGTGAAGGCTCCTGTGGCCAGGATTCTCACCTGGCCCTGGTTGGCTAGCTCACTGCACACGTGTGGGCAACACGTCATTATTGACTCTATATAAAGAGCTCCGCCCACTGCTCTGGGTGACAGTGGCATGGCTGCAGGAGAGCAGAGGCTGGAGTGGTGGCAGTGCTGAGGACAGAGGCCCAGAGGCAGAGACCGGCTTGCTGCATGCAGACTCGCTCTGAGTGGATGGGAGTCTAGTGATTGACCTGCCACCGGGGGGATGAAGTTGGGTATAAACCTTTTCACCCCAGGAATGTTCTACTGTCATTTTTCGGTCCCAGTGAATCCATAGTGAACTTGCTCAGGGCTGAAACCCATTGGCAAGACACCCACAATGAAAAAATACAGTCCTCTACTCTAGCCCTCCTGACCCACTTTGCACTCTTTGGACATCCACCTTAAAATCTATTTGCTGTTTGTCCCCGAGTTTCCAAATAACTTGCTCCCACCACGTTGCTTGATTTTTTTGGATGTGGCTGGATGGACTGAGTTCCCATCATAGCAACCAGAGCTGAGCCTCACTGCGGTAACACCTTCCGGCGGACATACACACGCACGCGTGTGCATACGTAATACCGATTTGCAAGGTACATTCCCAAACATACTGGCTTACAGCATCCACCTTATTCACTCACAGTTCTGGGCAGCAGCAGTTGAACGGAACTGAGCTGGGCCGGGCGGTCCTCCGGTGTGGGCTGAGCTCATGCATGCAGCTGTGGTCGGCGCCGGTCGGCCGGGGGCTGGCAGGCCTACGTGGCCGCAGGTGGGCGGCTCTTCCATACTCCACATGGCTTTCACCCTCCAGCGCACGGAGGCTGGAAGGGTTCCAGTGGCCCAGATGGCAGCACATGAAGCTTCCTGAGGCCCGGGCTCAGGACTGGCTTCCCGGCCCCACTGCATCCTCTCACAAGGCCAGCTGGGCCTGAGGGGGAGGGAAACACTCCGGCTCCCGAGGAGAGATGCTGAAGCCACACTGTGAAGGCTGCAGGGAGAACAGAACTGTCGCCATCTTTGCAATCTCCACACACACATTACATCCACGCATCTGCACTCCCCTCCCACCGTTCTCTTTATGTGGCCCCATCATATTACACATCACAGTTGGAGTTAAACTGTGCTCAGTATTCACCCCAGTTATTTATCACTAGATCTCATGGTATTTTTATTGTATTTTCTTTCTCACATAAGGAGTTTTGCTCTGATCCTCAGGGTAAATAATTGTCACGTTTTGAGTTGTTTGCTTAGTTTTTCTGTTTTTCTCTGTACTTACCACTAAGTCAGCTCCCAACTCTGCAGTAAGTACACACTCCCTGAGAACAAGCACAGCAGACTCCCCCCCATCCCCCTGGATCCCCCTTTTGGAGGCCCCGTCCCTCTCCTTCAGTCGGGGCTGAGTGGTCTTCGGGCCAGCTGCATGGTGATCACTCCACGGTCCCTTGGCTGCTTTCTTCCATACAATACCCTTTCTTGGCTAATAACATCTTCTTTACTACTTTCTCCTCATCTTGGAGAAGTATATCCTTTAGTAGATTCCTGAAAAATGGCAACCTTTTGAGACTGAGTGTCTGAAAATGCCCACCTAGTTAAGCCAGGACTCTCCCTATGTCAAGGTCATAGCAACCTTAGTTCCCGTTGCCATTTACCTTAACATATGAACAGGTCCAGGGATTGGCATGTGGCCGTGATTCGCTTACCACAGTCACCACAGTAGAGATACTTTCTCGGTGGCTGATCAGTTTACCCCCAGAGGAAGCCTCCTCCTCTGACCAGCACACGAGCAAGCCTGGCTGCCTGATTCTAGGAGCAAGAGAAAAATGGTGCTGGTAGCACCGTTACTTGGACTGCAGATGCCCCCTTAGCCTTCTGGTTTCCATGCATCATTCACAAGAGCCCTCAGCCATGCTGTGTTCCCTGCCAGCACCTTCTCACTCGACCTCTGTTGCAAATAAGCCTCCAGTCTTACACCAGGGAGGGAAGGGGTAGTCGCTGGCAGTGCCTGGGAGCAGAGAGAATGTAGGGCAAATTATTCCTCATTCAGACTTAATCACTCCACCTGGTTCAGTTCTGCCCCTTCGGAGGCAGCTGGTACCCCCGCTGCTGAGCCTCTCCAGGCCTCTGGGGCTCCATTAAACCTGGTTTTTGGCTTTACTTCTTACAGGCTCTTGCCCTTCAGCTTCCTTGTGTCTAGTAAATCAGTTATCGTCCATCCATCTGCTCTCTGGATTTCAAAATATTGCTGCTTCCCCTTTTGTTCTCATAGTCCTTACCTATGTGTGCTTTTCCATCCTCTTACTGTCATCTTAGAAGGACTTTGAGATGGATTGGAAGGATAATCTTTTCTTCTCTAATTTGCTATGTTTACCTAGGGGTTTCTATGGTTTGTTTCTTAGGAGCACTAAATAATTGTGAAACCAATTGTAGTCTTAGTGTTCTGCATGACAATCATTTTCTGCTAGTTTTCATTAAACATTAGTGACAAGGCTTGGAAATGCTTGTGTTCCCTGTGAAGGGGGCAGCACGGAGGGATGACAGTGGTCACCCAGTGGCAATCACCAAATAGTAATGTCGGAACAGCTTCTTTGCCTGGTCTGGCACCGGCACTCAACAAGGCATTTGCATGAATTCTGTGAGGCCTAAAATGTGCTCCACGGATCGTGCAGGTCCAGGTTTTAATCCCATATTTCTGAGCACAGACCCAGGCATGCTGAGTGGGTGCTTAATTCATTCGTTGTTTCTCCTGAGCTAAAGCAAGGAAAGGCAGCTCACTTCTAAAATGTCTGAAACGAAAAGTGGAAGGTGCTACATCCTAACCGATTCCAGCGAAAGTAAAGTACTGAATTCCCTGGAATGCATCAAACACAACTCTTGTCATTTTATGTATCAGGGATAGTGTCAGTAGTAGATCAGATAAATTATACGTAGCAGACATGGATTTTACGGCCTCTTGGTAATCGTATGTTAATGTCTTTATCTCTCCTCCTTTCCACAAAGCATGCTATTTTATTAATTTCATTGTTTTACAGCCAAATATAATTGTTTTCTGTAAAATCAATCGTTTTCTCAGAAACTTCCATGTGAGGAATGGAAGCATGGCCAGCGACTCTCGGAACGCAGGGGGACGGGTGGGAGGTAGAGTGGTGGCCACAGTCTCGGCTCCTTGCCCTTAACGGGGTGGCTCATTCTGCACGTATCTGCTGCCCCCGGAGCACCAGCAGTTAGTTCCATGTGCAGATCTGCAAAGGTATTGGGAGCTACTCCGGCATTGCCAGGGCCCTTCAGGCGCCTTGCAGTTTGTGCAAACCAGCGGCCAGCACAGTTGCTTGGCAGGCTCCAAATAGGGACATGGTGGCCCTCAGAGCCTTCTCCAGCCCCGGCTGAGGCCTCTGCCGTGTCGGGCCCATTGACACCCAGGAGCAGCAGCTGTGGGCAGCACCAGGGTGACACAGACATGCAGTCATGTTAGCAGGTCCACTTCTGCTCTGAAATGCTCCTGATTAGCTGTAAGCACAGGACATCCGCACACACACACCTCTGTGCCTAGACGTCAGTTCAGCCTGGGCACGGGAGGCTGGCGGGGAGAGCCAAACAGGAGTGGTTGTGACGCATTTCACTCCTTCAGAGTGAAAAAAATCCATGGTGGTTTGATAAGTTGCACAGAGCAATACTTGGTGTACCATATTCATGATTCTAAGCGTGGGCTCTCAGCTGGGACACTGGGCGGCCACAAAAACAAACAGGGAGAAAGGTGTAGTTCTTTGTAATCAGTTCTTCAAAGATATAAAAGGAGTTGAAGAGACACTTACTAAAACCCCAACTAGCTTTGTGACCTTAGGCACAGCCTTTCTTCTCTCAGGACCTCAATTTATCTCACTTATAAATGAAGAGATTAGACTGTTAATATATTGAAGGAAGAGGCTTCTCTCAATTGTAAAAAGCTGAGATTCTGAGACGGGCCACTGTCCTGAAGCCCGGAGAGGAGAGCCCGTGGAAGCAGCACACCTCCCGATGGGCAAAGACGTGTTGTTTCCACCTCGGATTTAGCGTCTGCAGGCACACACAGGGTTAGAAATTTGTAACAAGCAATAAACAGAAAGATTTAGTAGAAAGGAACAGCATACTAGGTTTCCATCTTAATAGCAATATTATTGTTTGAGCAGCTCTGTGCTTAGGGAAATTATCATCTAGCACCAGAGAAAATGTTACTGGTATCGATCTGCTCGTTTCATACTCATATTTATCTGCTCGGCATCCTGCTCTTCCGGAGCCTTCCAACTGCATGGTGGGCACGGAGAAGGGGCATGCCCTCTAGCATACAACTTTTATCTTCTTTCTCTCCCTTTTAACGATCTTAAAATCATTATTATCCAGACAGAACATCGGTTTGGGTCTTGTGGGAGAGCTTTTTGTAGTTCTCCAAGCCCTGCTCTTCTCTGTGACTGGTCACTCAGGAGTGGGTCAGGCTGTGAACGCCGGAACGCTGAACGGCGAAGCCCTTCCAAGACCCAAGTCCTCTCTGTCCCTCCCGTAAGGGACGCCTGGGGGGGCGTGTCGGAAAGCCGTCGCAGAGCCCGGCTGTCGCTTCCGTGCTGCGCTTCCACTGGTGTGTGTGGGGAGTCTGCCTCTTACCTGACTTGGCCGCCCAAGCTTCCTGCGTTACCCTGGCCTTCCTCTCCGCTTGGAGGAGAAAGGATCCAAACTTTCGGACTTTAAAACCATTTCTGGAAGCTCTATGTGGTACTCCTGCTTCCGTCTCGTTGACCAGAGCGCAGTCCAGGGCCACGCCCGGCTGCAAGGGAGGTTGGAAAAATGTGGCCTTCGTTCCAGGCTGGCGCGGGCAGAGCTAAATGAGGGAATTGGGGGGAGAGCACTTAAGGTGGAGCCACATCAGATTTCCCAAAGAAAGCTTCCACGGCCAAATGTTCGTGAGCTGCTTCTCCGGAAAGGCTGTGGGACGGCACAGAAGGACCGCCAGGGCGGGCGAGTGAAAGCGGAGCCGGGTGAGCAGCAGGCATGGCCTCCTTGCCCACGCTTCGGGCTGCCGCCGCGTCCTGCTTAACACATCTGTGCTGTGTTCACCTGCCAGGGTCATGCAGGCACCGGCAAGCGTTAGCTGGAAAAGTTTCCGTGGGGAAGTTCTGCTCCAAACCAGAACGACAGGAAGAAGGTGGTCAGTGGGATGAGACAGGCTGCTTCAGAAACGAGCAGAGTTGCTCTGTGGCCAAGCAGTAAAGTCACACACATTCTTTCCAGTGCCCTTCACTTCCAACTCTACATGCTTTTCTTTTCAACACTATTCCCCTCCCATGAGCACATAATGGTGTTTGCACACGTGCACACACACACACACACACACACACACACACGCTAATGTCATGAACCATAATTTAAAAAAACCAAATCTGCTAAACTATTTAATGCATATCCATTTAAGACTTAGCTTGCCATCTATCCCAGGAGTATTGTGCAAATTAAATGAAAATTAATAATTAATTCCCAGGAGTGACAGTTGCTTCACTTCTAGTCAACAAATGCCCTGGAGACTATTTCTTACAGAACCCTCTGAGGATGAGGACTAATAGCACACCTGTCTGCCCTCACTGCACTACACTCCGGTGGGTAGAGAGCCACGCTCATCCCTCCCAAGGAAGACCCACAATATGACCTTTTATTCAAACTAGTGCTGGGAAAGCAGAATGGAGTCCCAGCTTGGAAGGAGGATGGTGAGAAATGAGTAAGACTTCATAGGTAGAATTAGGCCTGGATAAAAGAAGAACATGCTAGGTGGGAGCAGAGGCAGTGAAGAACATGGTGGTGGATGATGGTGAATGGCCTGCGTGTGGGGCTGGCAGGGGGCCACAGAGGGGCCCGCGGTGAAGATGTAGGCTGAGACCCTGTCACGAAGGAGCCCAGAGCTTGGAGGATGAGAGAATGGGCAATACAGGAAAGCCCTACTCAGGGACTGGAGAAAACCGCATGTGTCACTCCTGGTGGAATTTCCAGTGAAAATCTGGAAGCGTTGGTGGGCGGGGGTCTGTCTAGGCACTTCTTGGGTGACACTGTGAAAACCACAGTTCCCGGGGTTTGTGAGGCCTGAGCCCAAGCTCAGAGCGACAGAAGGAGGGAAATGGTGAACCAAAATGCAGGAGGGGAAAGAGCACCCTAGAATTTCAGAGCTGAAGGGGTCCTGGAGACACTGTAACAAGGCTCACATTGCTCACAGATACGGAAGCAGGTTCGGGGGACAGGGCGGTAGCAAAAGGCATGTGGGACTTGCCCTCCCTGGCGTTAGTGTCTGGGCAGGAGAAATAGACGTTAACTATCCCAAACCTCATATGGAAAGTCCTGAGACAGATGACAACCTGGGGGAAGTATCCACAATCCCTTGCATAGCTAAGAGGCTCGTTTCTGTGATAAAAAGCACCTAGATTACAGGAAGGGAAAGGTGAAACACCCAACAGAAAGGGGGCACAGAAACACCCAGTCTGCACACACAAAAACTACAAAGGCCCCTGGATGCAGGGAAAGATTCTCAACCTCACTCAAAATCCAAAGATGCACATTAAAACTCCTCCGGGTGCCCTTTCCCACCTCCCAGTCCAGAGTTGGCCAACACTATTGGTGGGGCTGTGGAGAAATGGAAAATCACGTCCTGCTGAAGGTGCAAAATGATACAGCTCAAAGGGAAGCGCGACGTGATATCTGGCAGGGTGACGGGCTGCATTCATCTTCCGACCCAGCAATCCTCCGGGGGGCTATTTACATATAACCTGCAAGTGTATAAAACAACATATAGGCACAGCCAGGTGGTTACAACTGCAACACTATTTGCCACAAGGAAAAGATTGAGAACAACAATCAGGGTAGGAACTGGTTCCATAAACAGCAAAGAGTTACACAGTGGAATTCTAGCAGCTGAAAACAGGGGGTGTTTCCTTATGTCATGATATGGAATAAGCTCTAGAGTATATTGTTAGGGAATAAAAAGCATGGTGTAGAATATGTATGTTATGTTTTGTGTTAAAAAGGGGAAAAACAAGATACATATTTGCATTTGTCCTTGAAAAAAAAGAAGATACTTAATAAGAAAGAAATAAGTAATATATTTTTTTACTGGAAAGATAACTAAGAAACCAATCGAAAAAATGTTTACTCTAAAGGGGGAGATAATGGGGTGGATGAGAAAAGGAATCACAGCTAGATAGCTTAGTATATATCTTTTATTTCACTTTGGTTTTTTAACTATGTGAACATGTCATCAATTAAAAAAGACAACCACACTACAAAATTTACAATGGCAATGGTGACCAAAAATGTGAATGAGACATTCATGGTATTATCACAGGCAGGAAAGATTCGACCTAACGAGAGAAATCAGGGAAGGCTTCCTGGAAGAAGTGGCTTTTGAGTTGCCATCTGAATGAATGGGAGTTAATCGTTTCAGAAAGCAGAGGAGAGCATTATAACCGGGAAGGAAGCCTGAGCACAGGCCCTGGGATGGGACGGACAACGGCACTGAGGAAGAGCTGACCGCAAGCAGCATGGCAAAGCTAGCTGCGAGACAGGCTGGACCGCTCAGGGCAGGCTAGACCACATGGGGCTTGTAGGCCAGGCTGAGACACGTTATTTAACCCTAAGAACAACGAGAAACTGTTGAAGGTTTGAACCAGGTAGACAGGAGGAGGTCCAGGGAAGTCTGTACTTGATTCAGGGGAATATTTGCAGTCAGTGTAGATTGTAGAGGAAGGTGTGGTGTGGCCACTACACCTGTTCATAGAAAGAACTGTCAGTCCCACCCATCTTCCGAATTCACCTGTGAAACCACATGCAGTGCTTGCTGACAACATGTCACGTGTTTCAGTTATTATTCATCAGTTGCTGTTTGCTAAAACCATTCCACAAACTGCACAAGGATGAAGTTGTCACAGTCTCATTTACACTGAAACATCTCTTCGTTTCTAGGGGACCCCACTCCCCCGGACCCTATGGCTCCACCAACCCTCAGCGTCTCCCACAATCTGCTACATTAAATGAACAAGGGAACCAATTTCCATGTGTTCAGGCTAGTCTCTCAGCCTATTAGATCCAGCCTAGGAATAAAATCCATTTTTAATGCATCATTTGATAAGAACACTTAACCTCAGTATGTGTTATAATTAGAGAAATAATTAGAACTTCACTAGAACCTTTTAAGACTAGGAATATGTTTGAAATTCACCTTGAATGAAAATCTCATTATCTAAGACAAATCTAAGGTATTTTCCTTCCACTCCGGCTTGCCTCCTGCCCCTACCCAGAGGTTTTTCAGTCTAAGAAGTGTGAAAAGGTAAGAATTTTATAGGTAGTGCATATCACACAAGGCTAATGGTCGAGTTGAAAATTGCTTTACAGTAATTTTCCTTTATTTGAAATGGAAAATAATCCTTAATTCTGAAAATGAGCTTCAGAGGCCAAGTATGAAAAAGATGAAGTGTGAGTCATGTATGCAGAAAGGGGAAACTGCTCTTGCATGAATCCACTCATAAAATGTTAATATATGCATAAGAAAATTGTGTTCCTTAATCTCTGAAGAAACACTTATCACTAAGAACCCTTTAATTCCTTTCCTGTGCTTGATTTATTAGCTTATGAAATTATGTTAATAACCTTCATGTTAATGGCTTGGGGGCTCGAATGACCTGATTTTAATAATGAAGTAATTTATGCAATAAATGCAATCAGCATCTATGAATCTCACTTAACAGAATGTAGTGGTGATTAGCCAATGCTAGGACAAGTGGCTGTCGGCACGGGGCGAAGCCTGTGCGTCTGTCTGCAGAGCCAGCAGACGGCTGAGGGGTGCAGAGGTGGGGGCTACCGGTGGCACGTGGTCGGGGCTGCCGCTTTGCCTGAGAGGCTGAGACTGAGTTTGAAATCAACTGAAAACCTGTAAAAGGAGGCTGACACTTCAGTAACTGCAGAGCAAATGTACATACGAGGTGTACCCAGGACAAGGAACATTTGCATCTTTGCTGGACTTGAGTGATTCCCTGGAAGGAAACTGGGGAGTCGAGAGATTTCCAGGAAGGAACAGCCAAGAGCTTCCCGGGAGAGGGCGGGGAGCCTCGGAGGGGCAGGCGGACACCTAAGGGGCAGAGGGGTTCCAATCCTGTCATTGTAAAATCTGTATCCTGGAGCAACCTGGGTGCCCGTGTCACCGCGTGGGGCTCTGCGGGCATCACGCTGAGTCACCTTCCTGCTTCCTTTTCAGTTCCTGGCAGATCTAAGTTTAAAAATGACTACTTCCCAGCCTCCCATACTCGCCGCAGGGCAGACATACTTTAACCCTGCTAGGTAGATGCTTGCTTTCTTCACAATTCCTTGGGACATGTTTCCATTTCTGTTACCGTTTAAATATTCCTTCTAGGATTTCTACTTTCCTCCCAGCCAAAACTTACGACACCGTTCTCTGACTTCCTAGAAATAGGCAGGTGTGGTGATTGCCCCCTTCTACTGACTGCAAAACCCCAGCCAGGGGCGAAGAGAGCTGGTCCCTGCATAGGTGTTCCCAGAAGGGTCCTGACGCCACAGTACAAACAGCCCTGTCCTTGATCTTCACCCTAAGCACTGATATTCCCCATGATATTTTTCAAAATGTTCAAAAACATTGTTGGAGCACTTGCTTGAGTGTCAGGCCTCCCCCTAAGAAAGTTTGACATCAAATGTGCTTTCAGCAAAATGTTAAGCGGGGGAAAAAAGCGTGAAATATTAAAATAGCTAAATGCTCAACTGTGATGTAGTAAAAACAAAATTGGCTCAAGATCAGTCCTTGAATTCCTAACTTGGCTTATACCTCCTACTACTTAAGGAATTGGTCAAGGTACTTGACCCTTTAGTTACTTTTGTTTTTCTACATTTAAATAAATAGGCATTCATTTTACAATAAAATCACAAAGTGCGTATTTTTGGAAAATAAATGCAGAATATACCTTGCAAAAACATAAATCTTTAGTGGAATTTTAAGTCTTTATCCCAGTTGCAAAGTGCAGGGGTGTTGGTTATACTGAAGTGCGAATCCCCAGAGCTCCTGTCTCACAGGAGACCTAACCCAGACTCTAGTCTTGATTTACAGGGAGTTACCATCAACGGGGAGAACACACCTTTGAGTGGCTTCATCTGCAGTAAGAGCTGCTATACATGATTCTGTAATGTAAAAAATCACAAGGGCTAAGAATGCCTTTCACTTTGCAGCACCTAACGGTTTCCGTGCACAGGCTCTCGCGCTGCGTGGGGCTGCGTGCATTCAGCGCCACCGTTTCCTCAGTCCCCACTAGGAAGCACCTGCAGTGCTGTTCCATTTACAAACAGAAGCGTCTGCTGAGACACTGTACCTGCCTCGCCCGTCGCCGAGCACTGAAGCTGGACTCCTTGCCCAGCGTGATCATCCCTGCACCGTCAGCTGTTCATCCACCAGGACTCGCACTGAGTGTGGCTTTAACCTATGACATAACAAGCCAATTAATTAATAAAATTGCAAGAACACTGTCTCCTCCCAAAAGACACACTCCTCAAGTTATTTAGGCCATCTCTCTTCACGCTCAATTTTGAGGAATTTTTTTCACATAGGAGGAAGATAATGTAAAAAGAAAGAAAAGAGTTTTCCTAATATCAGCGTGGCAAGTAGAGATCTAAGCTGAGCCTTCCTTTGACCCTAAGAATGGCCTCCAAGAGGTACAGCCATACTGCTGAGCTTTTACGGAATCCCACACCTTTAGTGCGTTTCCTAAATTCTTACCTCTGCTACCTAGAGCCTCTCTCTCACCAGTTCAGAGCTTCAAACTCACAAGGATACTTTCTCCATTTTTGTGACAAACATGGCACCTTGCAAAGCAGGAAGAGAAAGGTGCCGGGTGCCACAGGAGGTGGGTGGGAAGGGGCCCCTCCTGGGCTTCTCCTACCGCCCTTTCTGAGCTCCTGATTCTGCACAGGTCTCCCCTGCAGGGGGAGAATCTCTCCCACTTTGCCTCCGTCCTACTCTGCTTCGCTCCACGCGTGTCCTCCGCCTCTCGAGGCGCACTGGCCCACGCACAGCCACTCTCATGCTGGGAGGCTGTCTCAACTATTCTTTGGGGGAAGAAGGAGGCGCTCTTCCTAACCCCTGGGTGGCGAGACACCCATCGGTCCGGAGGCGCGACGCTTCCCGGTGCTCCGGGGAGCGTGGCGCCCCACTCACCGCTCCGCCCTCAGACAGTTCTGCTCCTGGCAACTAGGGGGCGCCACACATGCCGAGGCTCCAAATGCGTTCTTTCTTCTGCACCCTTATTTAAATAATTTCTGTTATCACCCCTGCTGCTGGGCAATTTGAATTGGCCATTGTGTCAAAGGAAAAAGAAATAATTTTTAAAAAGATCAGTTCTTTAAATTTTATCCCCATGTCTGTTTTTTTTTCCAGACCAGGGACTATGTTTGTCTGTCTGTCTGTCTATCTATCTATCTATCTATCTATCATCTATTTATTTATTTTGTTATCATTAATTATCCCCATGTTTTTCTAAAAAGGAACATAGCAAACTTGGTCTGACTCAGGCCGGGGAGGCGGCCCCAGTCCCTCCCGACGCCCCACGCCTCCCTCTGCTCTTCCAGGCAGTGCGAAGCTTTGACCTGCTTTGTAGTTAAAACTCATTTTTTGAAAAAACGGGTAACAGAAAAGCGACTTCCTCTTGCTACCATAACTATTCCTGGGATAAAAGAATATATTTTCCACCAGTGGTCAGAAATTGATTATTTTAAAATCTCAGTGTCTTCATGTGGGTTGTTAAATTGTAGTATTTCCAGAATATCTCACCTGGCTTTAGTACATCTGCATGTCAGTAGGTGTTCAGAGGTGGACAGAAGTGTGGCTTTAGTTCATTTGCATATCCTCAGGGGTGGAGAGAAGTTCATGTCCGTATCAGTGGGTGATTACCTGGGCAATGGAGGGCTGATCCGTACCTGAGAGGGGAGGGGAGGGCCGTTTTGCTTCTGCTGGAGCAGGAGAGAGAGAGACAGCCCGGGACTGCAGTTTGTAAGCAATAAACGGGTTTTAAATTTTATTTCTCCCTTTGACTGATGTCACTGTTTAGAGGTGTTCTGCCCTGGGATTTCCTCTCCCCGGACTTACACTTCATATAACACAGAACCATGATTTTGTGGTTGAAAGTATGGATTCTGGAGCCAGAACAACTCAGACATGAATCCTGCCTCTCTTGTAATAGCTGTATGACCCTGGGCACTGACCTAATCCCTCTCTAGCTTGCTTTTCGCATCTTTAAAATGAGGATAATAATAATATTGACACTTTTTTTAAAGGAATAATTTTTTATTATATCACACAGTTTGAGTGAAGATCAAATGATATTACACTTTCAGACACCCAGTAAGCCCTTCATGGCTTTCTCAGGAACTTGATCCAATACTTCCACTTTTGATTGTAGTAAAAACTAACTGAATTTATACATACAAAGCACTTAGATTAGTATCTGGCATAGAGTAAATGCTCAATTACTGTTATCTTTCATTTGTGTGATAATTATGCACCACACCCAGTCCTTTAATAAAAGGTCATTCACCCACTGTGGCTGTAGCACGGATTCTGGGAATCCCCGGGTAGGATCAGGAAAGAAAATGTTTTGCATTTCACTTCCTCTTGAAAACTTTCCTCTTTCCTATTCAAGAGCTCTTTTGATTCAGCACACTCTTGAGAAGATACTTATTAGGATAACAGTTCAAGAGAGTATATGTTTCAAATATGACGACTAGAGTCAGCCAGATAAGTATTTGACTCATAATGTTTAGAACAACTTTAGTTTAAGCCCTGTATAATCTAAAACAATCGAAGTGGAGGCTCTGCAAGGCTCTCCATGGAAACAGAGAGTCATCGGGAGCCAGAGGCAGTGAAGACATGTGCCTTTTCCCCACGAGTTTCCCATCTCACATATAGAATACAGATTGCTGCCATTGCACCAAGTTTTAGGCAAATCAAGGTAGGCTTGTGGAAGGAATTAAAACTTACCCAAAGCAGTTTTGCAATGTTCTCCGTCGGGGGTGGCGGTGGGGGTGGGGCTGGAGGTAGGGGGGGAGGGTCACTGTTTCTCTTAACTTCCACCCCATCAAGATTATTCTCCAATCTGATATTTCTTAATCTGAATGTACTTTCCAGGTCATTAATTTGGTTTCTCAATTGTTAAAGCCTTTAGAATTCTCAGTTAGAAACAGTGTATCCACATCAATCATCATCTCACCTCTTCCTGATTTTTTCTTTCCTCCCACCATCTTGGGTTTGTTTGTTTTCTTAACCTTTTTCCCACTACTATTTTTTGGTAGTGTCTGACCTTTCTTGGCATCAGCCCAAAGCTATTTCAACTTAATAAATCAATTTCAAGTCTCCCAAGGGAGACAAATGGAAACGCAGGAAGACTTGTGTCCCGGCTCAGCAAAGGAATAGCAACCTGCAAGCATATATTTATCTTTGCAGTTTTTTTCCTGAAAAACAATGAGCCAGGCTTCCAACCAAACAGATGACATTGCAGATAAAAACCAGAAACCCCTCTAAGTGTATCGTGCCACCACCAGACCAGACAGCTGCCCACCAGCCCAACTTTGATTTTGTCTGTCTTCAGTGCTTCAGAGCTGAGCCATCAGGATGTTTCTCTCATATTCTGTTCTGGTTATAAATATAGGGGGCTTCTTTGTACCTCTATTTTAGGCAATTCAGATCTGCCAGAATACTGAACCCATAGGTGAACTAGGAGTTAAATTCAAAGGAACGAAATATAATAATAACATGAGGCAAATTTCAGGAACCTTACTGACCCATTATCTGAAACACAAGTTTAAATTAGTTCAAATGAATATACTTAAGTCTTAATATTGTAGCTTAATAGTTTTATTACACAGGGCCGCAGATTGAGGGCAGATGTGCACCTTTGCTTAATTAACATGTCTGAATGCATGTAAAACTTTGGCCACCTAAGCAAGAATAAGCTTATTTGGAATTTTCTTTAAAACACTCTTAGGTCTGAAATTGCTTGCAGTCTCCACTATTCTCATGGCCTGGTGTCAGGACAGCCCGGGCTATCTGACACTCAGCAGGAGACTGGGTGACTGCTCCTCAAAGACTGTTAGAAAATATGTCCATGGCTTTCCACAGCAGGATACTGTCCTCCTCTGCTACATATCCTGAGATTTGATCACTAGTCATCATTCCTTCAAAAGCCCCCTTTCCACAAACTGTTCCCTTCACAAGCACTATTGTCACATGCGGGCATTTCAAGCTCCAGCTGATGAGATGTATACAAATGAGCTGGGTAGATACAGAAGGGTGATTTAAGTTACAAAATACCTATGTAAGGTTTTATTTTTTAAAAAATCCAGAATGCATTTGTTTTTTCTTAAAAACAGAATTTTTCATATAAACTTGAAGGCAGTTCAGTTGGAGCGTTAAAACCATTTGCCATCGTCTCTTTGGCAAAAGCAGTGACATAGTGCTAACGGATTCTGGAATGAGGGTGCGAACTCCACTGTAGCTGCAGTCCTAGTCTCAGAACTGATTTTCCTGTATATTTACCTCCTCCTTTCCTCCTCAAGAAGAGACAAGTTTTCTCTTCTCCTTTCCTTTCTCCCTCTTTCCCTGGAAGTGAGAGTGGACTTCTTTCCTTTCCTGCCTCCCCAGACAACAGGACCCTCAGGAGGTGCTGCCCAGCTCGGGACGCTGAGTCCGATGGTGGACAGTGACAACAGGGATCAAAAGAGAATCCTCCCCCCAGCCCATCGCTAAACGGGGAGTGTCCTACATCAGATGTGCGCTCCCTGGGGCCCACTGGTAACAAGGGACAGTCACGCCAGAACTACCAAGACAATGAAAAGACCAGCAGTTGTCTGAAGTCTGAGCACAGGAGATTTTTGGAGGCGTGAAAGTGCTCTGTATGCTGCACTGGTGGGTGCGAGTCCTTACACACCCGCTCAGACCCACGGAATGTGCACCGCCAGGAGTGGCGCTGAGTGTGAACTATGGACCTGTGGGTGGTAATGAGGTGTCGGTGTTGGTTCATCAGTTGTGACAAACGTACCGCTCTGGCAGGGGGGTCTTCCTAACAGGGAGGTGTATGTGGGGGCCAGGGAGGACACAGTAAGTCTCTATCACTTCCTCTCAATTGTGCTGTGAGCCTTAAACTGCTTCAAAAAAAAAAAAAACCTCTGAATTTTTAAGAAAGAATAAAAAGGGGAGAAGAAATACAATAAAGCAATTCTAAAAAACAGTGTTACTTGGGTGTGATTTCCACACCCATTGTACAGAGAACTTAAGCTGCACAAGGGCGATGACTTAAATGAGGTCATTTAGCTCATGAGTGGCAGAGAAAAAGCTGAAAAAACATGTGATTATTAGAAGTACAAGTAGAGAAATGCAGTATAGACTTTTTTACTATTAATAACCAACTTGCCTTTGTATGTTTAAGTAAAACAAAGTGACTGAAACTTATTTTTTCTTTTTTTAAAAAAGTGCCCTATATTTAAAAGCTCATTATTCTGTCATATTAATTTAAATATTCAGGGCCCAACAATTTGAAAAGCATAGCTAACAAGTATATAAAATAATAATTTATTACAGAAATCCAAGAATGACTAAGAATTAGGAATTTTATCAACATAATTCATTCCATTAATAAATTAAGGAGAAAATATAGGATTATACCATTATATGATAAAGGATTGATACAGTTCCATAGTCATTCATGGTAAAGTCTCTAACTAAAAGAAACATAGAAGAGAATTCCTAAACAAGATAGAACATTTATCATAAACTAACAAATAATGAAATGCTAAAGAAGTTCCCATTGAAGTCAGAAACAAGCTAGAGCTGCCCAATATTACCACCATTATTCAAAGGGCAGCTAGAATTGGTGGGGGCATGGCCAGAACATGGAGGGAGAAAGAGCTGAGGCAAGAAACCCTCATGGGGACTCCCCTCAGATATTGGGCCAAGAGCCGAGAAGCACACGCACAGGGATTGACTGTGAATCCTGCTGCAGGAGGCTGGTAGCTGAGCAGAGATATTAGAGATGTCATAGAGTTTGGAGATACTGGGATTGTGGCCCAGCCAGAGTGGAGAACTCCCACTGAAAACATGAGGCATTAGGCTGAGACCCTGGAAAAGCCTCATCTTATGAGTAAAATCTATGTCCTAGAGTGACAACCATGCCCTAGGACTCAGGTTGAAAATGATAATAGAGCCTCCTAAGAGAGCCTAAAAAGTCTGACTGGACAAGACCTACCAGTTGTATAACTGCTTTCAAAGCAAAACTCAACACCCTTTAAAGGAAAACAACATAATCAATCCCCCCCCAATGTATCAGCAACAATGTCTAGAATGCAATAAAAAATGACTAGGCCTGCAAAGCAGCAGATGATATGACCCCTAATCAAGTGGAAAAATGGAAGCAGACTCTGACATGACCCCGATGTTGGGATTAGCAGATGAGGATTTTTAAATACTTCTAATAAATATGCTTAAGAATATGAAAGAAAACACAAATAAAAGTGAAGTAAGAGATGGGGAATCTCAGTCAAAATACAAAAACTATGAAAAGAGCCAATGGAAATCTAAACTGAAAAACACAAAATCTGAAATAAAAGATCCTCTGATAGGCTTGGTGGCAGATTGGACACTACAAAAGGAAGTGCAATGACCTTGAAGACAGTGCAAAAGAAATTTTCCAAATAGATGAAAACAGATAAAGGAGATTGAAATAAAAATAAACAAAGCCTCAGTGACCTGTAGGACAATATAAAGTGTTTAACAGAGTGAATAGAGATATAATAGGAGGTAAGAAAGAACAGGAAACAACTGAGCA